CAGCCCCTATCCCGGCCCCTTGTCCTATCACCCGGATCCAGGCCTTGGCCCCCCGCCCCTCCCTCGCCCTGCTTCCCAAATCCGTCCCAGTCCCCGCCTGGGTACCAGCGAATGCCCGGATCCAGATCCCAACCCAGGCGCCCCCTCCAGCCTCAGTCCCAGGCCCTGGCCTGGCCCCCATCCCCGCCTCTGCCCTTGTTCCACCTCCTCTCACAAATCCCAGCCCAGCCCCTGTCCCAATCCCATCCCCAGTGTTTGTTTAAGCCCAGGGCCCAAACCTTGCCCTTACTCCAGTCCCCATCGCAGCCTCTTCCATCCCATCCCCTGCCCTTGCTCAAACCCTCCTGCCCAGCCCAGCCCAACCCGTTATCTCAGCCTTTGCCCTCATCTCTGTATTTACCCAAGTCTCTCCCACTACCCACCCCTCTGTCTCACACCCTGCCCCTCTCCCAGCCTCGACTCAGGACTGGGCTCCAGCTGCCACCAGCCCTGTTGCTGCTGTTGCTGTTTTCTGTCCTTGGCCCAGGGGCTGGTGAGTGCAGAAGCAGCAACGACTGAGGCAGGGATGGGGTTCTGGCAGGGAAGGGTGGACTGGAGGGATTCGGGAGAGGTGGGACCTTGGTAACCAGATAATTGGGGAAGAAGTGGGGAGAAATAGGGAGGAGAGACTTCTTACACATCTGAGAGGAAATGGGAGGGTCAGAAGAGAGGCTCGGCTGGTGGCTAGTAGCCTCTAGGACACCCAGGTTTTCTTTCCTGGTGTCTATTCTGACTCCACTTTGATTCTTGCTTTTCCAAGGAAGTCTTGTTCCTGCTCATAAAGTTTGATGGGAGAAACATAGTCCCATACCAGACAGCCTCTAGTCCAGTGCTGGCAAGAGCTAGCCTAAAATTTTGAGATATGGGGTATGCATTAAAACAGGGTTTAAAAAGCTGTTTTGAAAATAACATGCAGCAAACAGACGGACATGGGTTAGTTGCAATTATAACAGTTTTTCTTCTTGTAATGAGTTTTGTTCCAAATAAGCTTGATTTGCCTAGGAATAATTCCTGACACTTTTTGTTTGTTTTGTGTGTTTTAAAAAAATTCTCACCAGAAGGTATTTTTTTCCATTTTTCCAGCTTTTCGGGGGGG